TTTCTTGCTGTTCCCTTGTCCCTGAGTTCGTTAACACCACTTCCTTTCCCCTCACCCTCACCCTCTCCCATGTCCCCTTGAAACTGTCAGTCCCGTTGTTTTCTACTCCAGATTGTTTATTCAGCCTATCTTTTCTAAATAGACCTGCAGAGATAATAGGCACAAAAAGAAGACAGAGAAAAACAAAGCAACAAAAAATGACCAAAAAACCCAGAAAAGCCTGTAGATAGTTTAAGGTCTGTCAGTTGACCTTTAGGAGTGTTTTCTGGTCAAGTCTGATGGAATGACATGCCCTGGCCCCAAAGTGTATCTTTGGTACTCCTTGGGACATCCTGGCTCTGCTCCCTTTGCTGTTCTGTTGCACACCCTTAGTGTTTTCCTCGGTGTGGTAGGGTCAGATCAGGCCAAATTCCCACACTGTGTCTCCAGTGTGGTCCCCCATGGGACTATGGGTAAGCGAGGGATGTTGTGTCTCGTAGTGGGGCTGGCCATATGGTCCTCTCTGAGCATTGGCTACTCTGAGCAGGGATAATGTCCTCGAGGCTTGGTGGGCCAGGATGTGCTCCACTCTCTCTTCCTCCCCCTTCATTTGCTCCCATGTGCGCCTTTGTAATTTTTAAAATAACTCAAGTATTCACATATTTAGGGTAATGATACAGAGGTTATATATAAAAATAATTAATATTCCCCTGCAATCCCATTTCCATGGGGCAACCTTGTTAAAGTTTTAGTGTAAATCTTGCATACTTTTGTTTATGCTTATATAAACATACATATAAAATACCTAATTAATTTTAAAAAGGGGAGTTTCATCCCTCACTTAGGCTAGTATAGTGATACCTCAGCTGTCAAACTCTATTCCAAATTTGTGTTTGAACACGAAAAAGCTCAAGAACTTAACATATTTTTCCCATAAGAAACAATGGATACTAAAAGCTTGAAGGTAAACAAGCGGCCATCTAGCTCAGAAGCAAAAAAGCCCACATGGAACAACATATCAGCCTGTGTGATCACGAG